GACCCCTGGAATTGCTGAGTGCTAACTCACATAATGTGTATGAAGTGCACAGCACTCAGTATCTCCTACGTGCTTAGTAAGTGGTCACTGGTATGTTCAGTATACTCCAAATTTATTTCTCCTTCTGTCATAGCCTATGTCCATTTTTGGCATTACTTATTCACTAAGCCAAAAGCCTGAGTGAAATCTTCAAGGTATCTTCATCTTTGCATTATTCCCCAGATCCAATTCATGTATAGAACCTACAATTCCTGAATGTCTCTCAAATTAATCATTATCTCTCACCTGGACCCCCCTAACAACTCCCTCAATGGTCTCTCTAACTTCCATTTTCCCTTTCAGAGTATTTCCATTCTGCTGGCCAAAGGTTTGTTAAAATATATATATATCTCCTAACTGGTTTGGCATCAGTGGAATAGAGCATTGGCCTGCAGACCGAAGGGTCTCAGGTTCGATTCCGATCAAGGGCATGTACCTTGGTTGCGGGCACATCCCCAGTGGGAGGTGTGCAGGAGGCAGCTGATCGATGTTTCTCTCTCATCGATGTTTCTAACTCTCTATCCCTCTCCCTTCCTCTCTGTAAAAAATCAATAAAATATATTAAAATAAAAAAAGAATCTATGACCCTTGGTAGAAATTATCTTTTCATTTCATTAAAAAAATATTTTTACTTTAAAGAATATTGTATTTTCCAATTACAGTTCACATGCAACCTTACATTAACTTCAGGTGTGCAGACCTGTGATTCGATACTGATATAGCTCACTCCGTGGTTACCCTGGTAAATCCAGCACCGCCTGGGCCCATACAGGGTCCTGCAGTACTGTTGGCGGTATTCCCCATGCTGCACTCTACATCCCCGTGACGACTCTGTAGCTACCAGCTTGCACTTCTCCACCCGTCACCTTTGTCACCAGCCCCCAGGAACATTTTAAACGTAGGATGTGTAACGGCGTGAACGAACAGGCTTGGGTCGCTCTCTCTGCTCTAGCAACGGGCCGGGCGCCATTGACGAATGCTGTGACTGGTTCCGGAAGAGAGTCGAGGAATTAAATGCAGAGAAACGCCAACTCGTCAACTCTCATCAGGAGCAGGTCGGGCTGTTGTTGCGCTGCCGTTGGTCTCCGAATCGCAGTACCGGCTGTTGTTGTTGCTATGACGTTAACATCATGTAATGTTTTCCAGGCCGTTAATTGCGTTTTGGGAAATGTGTTTTATGAGCGACTGGCTGGCCATGGTCCCAAACTAGGACCCATCACGAGGAAAGACCCTTTAGTTACCAGGTATTCTGTTTTTGTTTTCTTCTCATTAAAAGTTAAAAGTGGGCCCTGGCCGGTTTGGCTCAGTGGGTAGAGTGTCAGCCTGTGGACTGAAGGGTCCCGGGTTTGATTCCGGTCAAGGGCACATGCCCAGGTTGTGGACTTGATCCCCAGTGCGGGGCATGCAGGAGGCAGCCAATCAATGAATCTCTCTCATCATAGAGGTTTCTATCTCTCCCTCTTCCTTCCTCTTTGAAATCAATAAAAATATATTTTTTAAAATTAGAAGTGGTACTTAGCTTTTCAAGTGAGCCTAAATGTTCCCTTTCATGACTTCCAGTGCATCTCTTCAATGGCAGTGGAAGCGCTGATTGGGTGACTGGGCTTGCTATTCATTCATTCCGTTGGGCAGATCTTTAGTTAGAGACGCTATCATCAGTGTAAACCACTGTACAATTATTTACATTCATGTCACGGGAGGACTGCACCCTTACCGATCATTTCCGTGCCACTCAAACGGAACAAGCATTCAGCTCCTTTTATGTGATGTGCGGAATCGGCTAGACCAGCTGTGGGCAAACTATGGTCCGCGGGCCGGATCCGGCCCGTTTGAAATGAATAAAACTAAAAAAAAATAAGATCGTACCCTTTTATGTAATGATGTTTACTTTGAATTTATATTAGT